GTCCGCGGGCTGCGGCCTCGATCACAAAGACTTGGGTCCCCCAAGAGCGCCGCTGGGGAGGGGGGCTTCTGTACGTCACATGTCCCGTGCCCCACTGCAGGGGGAGATTCAGCCCCGGGCTTTTCCCTCTTTGCTCACTGTTGCTGATGGCATCCTCATTAGTTTATTTTCCTTTGCTGACTAATTTGCTTAAATTCAGCGGGTCGCCATGTCTGATCTGAGGTTGCAAGGCCAAAGCTTGGCCACACCTCCTGGCCCATGCTGCTCTTAAAGAAGCGGCATGCCAACAGGCCAAAAGCCAGCCAGCTTCTCCAACCTACTACTCTCACCTCCCTCCCCACTAGCTCCCATGCGCCAGGGGAAAACAAAGCCAGAGGGAGAGAAGCAGAGACAGAGTGCCACATCCCAGAGACAAGAACCAAAATGGGAGTGTGGCAGAGACAGCCCTGATGGGGGACCAGCCGAGTGGCGGCACGTGATGGCCTTGGTGGAGAGAGAGAGAAAATCCATGGTGCTATTTGCCCCCCGAGACCGCGACAGAAGAGAAGCAGGGCAGGCGAAGGGAGGAGGGGGTCAGAACCCCTGTCCCCAGTGCTCTCGCCTCACGTACACACACGGCAGCACAGCAGCCCGGCACGGTACCCCCGTGGTACCCACCCACAGACAGCCGCCTGCATGGCTGGGAGGCTACGGGTGAGGCCTGCACCTCATCTCCCTCTTGCCTCTCTGTTCTCTCGTCCCACGGTGATGTTTTCAACACTGTCTCTCACTCTCCTCAGCTGCCACCACCACCGTACCACGGCATGGGTGCTGCAAGGACAAACTCTGCCCCAGTGGCTCACTCCAGGAGTGGGGAGCTATGGATCAGTCCCTGAGTCTGCATATAGGGGGATGAAGGCCCTGCGCGGCAACAATGATGATGACAGCCATGACGATGATGACACCGGCTGGGTCACAGGGAAAAAATTGAGGCCTCCAAGGGAAACGCATCCCTTTGCCAAATCCCTGACCGCCTTCCCTCCAGGCACCAGCGAGCCAGCATCATCTCCGCCGCTGACCACAGTCAACTGGCCTGCGAGGCGACTCCAGCCGCACCACCGTGGTGGCCCCCGGATGGTGACTGATTGTCAAGAAGTGTTCAGACGGGCGTAGCTCCGGGAGGAACCCAGGGCTGCAAGTGCATTCAAAGAGTGGATGATCAATGTGCCCTGCAATTCCCATTAATTCTTGCAGCTAGCTGCATTCTTCATTAATGCATGAGCCGTGTGATCCACCGCTAAGAGTTGTCTGGCTTTTGGCACCAATCCTGCACGTGTAGAGGGGCTGGGACCGCTCACATGAAGCGCCCCTTTCTCTTGTGCTGAGGATGTGCGGGCATGTGACTGGCTTTGACTGTCCTTACTTGATAGTCAGGATTGCAGACATAGGAGATCCAGCCACACTGAACTGGATTTCTTCCTCAAACCTCCACACTATGGTGGCACTGAAGGAGATCTGAGCAGTCTGGGTCCCACCTGGTGCAACGATGTCCTCCTCGGGCGCAAACTTGAAGCAGAAGCCCACGTTTGCAGTTAAAAGGCTATAGCTGAAGGGAGCATAAATAGCTCCT